CAGTACAAAGAACGTGGAAACTTGAATCGTTTGATTAATCATGAAGGAGACACCCACATCCCAATCTACCACCAATGACTCATCACATCAAGTCTTCCGTGGCGTCGCCGCCGCCACCACCAAGGCCAGCCAAAAGAAGACCAATAACTTCGATGCTTGTAGAGACATGAGCGAACAGCGGCTTCACCACGTAAACGTGGAGAAGAAGTTGAAGGAGTAGAGGGCGGTTGCGGAGGAGCAGAGGCTGGAGAAGGGTCCAAAGGAGTTTATAAAGAAGGAGAGAAAATTGGTCATGGGAATTTCTCTGGTTTAGTATAATCTGACTGTAAAGAGCGAAGGCTAGTGTTTGGGATGAGTTTTCTTGTGATTATGTGCTTTTGTATAAACTGACTGCAAATAGACTAATTTTATCCTTGTGTCAAGTTGTTTATTATATAGATTATGATCATGGGAATTCCTTTACGGGTTAATTGTGTCAAAACACAATTTTTTCTGATTTGGTCAAAACACAAAAAAAATAATGAGCAAATCAAAGAAAGTTGGTCAAAACATATAGAAAAATTGTGAGCAAACCAGAAAAATTTTCAACCCAAATAAATTTCAAAACATAGAGAAACTTTCAAAACACAGAGAAAAATTAGAGAAGTTGAGAGAAAATTGGTCAAAACACAGCGAAAATTGTGAAATTTCAAAACACAGAGAAAAATCAGAGAAATTGAGCAAATCAGAGAAATTTCAAAGTAGAGAAATTTTAAAACACAAAGAAATTTGTCTAATTTGAAATTTCTCTGAATTAAAATTTCTCTCGATCGAAATTTATTTGAAAAAATGTTGAGGGACCCCAACCATTATGAAAATATTACAAGCCTTTTATCTTATAAAATTTTAATACCAGGGACCTTAAAAAAAATCTCCCTTTTTTTAATAATTTTTTTTATTATTTACCAATATCCAAATTATTACAAAATTTATTTTCTAAATATAATTTTTTTCCAATTTATTTTAGAAACTTGAGTTGTTTTTTGAAATCTTGAAATCATGTTTCTAAAATACAAATTATCCCAGTGATTTTAGAAATTATAAATACTCTCTTATTATTTAACATAATTAACAAAACATTTTTTTCTAACTACAGTCTTATGCAACAAAAAAATTATCAGAATTATTAATTAAAATATATTTATGATGTCATTTAAAACTATTAATTGACGTAATAATTTACTAATAAAATTAATCATTTTATATAATTTTTAAAATGATAAGAAATAATTCATATTTTAAATAAATTTCAAAAAAATATATTTTAATGTTACTTCTTCTACTTTTTCTTCTTTTTTTTTTGTTTTTTTTTGTTTTTGTTTTTTAAGTTCGGAGGGCAATGTTATGTTGATGTTAGTGGTGTTAGTTGACACCATTAAACTTCAATTTTTATTTTTATTTTTTTATTTAAAATATATGCAATTTTGATCTAAAATTTGTAAATATATACATACTGAATCTAGTGGGTTTTGAAAGAAAAAAAAAAAAAAAAACCTAATTCTCAAAATTTTACAAATTGAACCTATTAGGCTTAAAAAAAGAATCACTCTCCGTAATTTAGGCCTCGTTTGAAAATATATTATTTTAGTAATTTTTGCCTTTTTAATAAAAAATATTTAAAAAAGTAGAGAGAATGATATGACAACTTATAGTAACTTTTTAACTAAAACAAAAGGTTGCCAAACGAGGTCTTAATACTTTAGAAACAAATCCAACGCTTGTTTATTTTCTATTGGTCTTAATTCCAACACCAATAAATATTATATTTGTCATCTCTCACATTGCTTCCATATTTATTCTTTTTCTCTCCAATGTTACATTCTAGTTACATAGACTTGTTCATTATATACATATATATAAATATATATATTTTGATTCAAATGAAAGGTAAACAAACAAAAGTTACATTATCCTTACAATTCAAGAAATTAGTCCCTTACAAGACTAACTCCAGTCATGTCATCGATGACTAGAGATCTCACTTCTGCAGGTGGGTCATCTAGGACTACCACATGGTCATCTTGGACTGCCCCCAAGTTTGCTAGTTTGTCAGCTACTCTGTTGCCCTCGCGAAAAGAGTGTTTGCTTGAGTAGTTGTAGTGTTTCAAGAGAAACTTGGTGTCTTCGATGAGGGCCTTATAAGATGAGTGATGGCTTGGTCTATCCTGGATTTGTGTGATAGCTTGGGTAGAATCAGTTTCAATAGTTATATTCATGGTGTCTTTTTGAAAGAGAATGGTGAGTTCCATGTATATGTCCCATAATTCAGTTTCTAGACTAGAGCAGTGGCCTAGTTTATCATACTATCCCCATAGCCAAGTTCCAGTTTCATCTCTCAGCAGTCCTCCATATCCAGCTTGGCCTGAGTCACCTTTTAATCATCCATTTGTGTTGAGTTTGAGTTGACCTGCAAGTCGAAAACACCAGTGAATTAAGTCAAGTTTGGCTATTCTAAAAAAGTGTACTTATTTTATCTTTTTATCTTTTATGGGTCATATCAATCAATATCTTCTCTCTACTTTTTTTACACATAATACAATAAAAATTAAAAAATATACTTATTTAGTCTTTCTAAATTTGACCCTAATCTAAGATGGAAGGGGTTGGGATGGAGAGGGAAGTGGAAAGCCTCTTCGATATCTTCTTTATTTGTTTACCATGACAGTTCTGATTTCTGAATAAATGATGAATTTTTTTGGCCACGCCAACTATTTCAACCTAATCCCAAAAAAATGAATTTGGACTTTCACTTGGATCTAATTATCACGTTCGGGTCGGACGGACCCATCCCCAAAAAACAGCCCGAAAACGAAACCATCCCCAAAGGAGAAAAACCCAATCAAAACCCTCGTTCTTGGAATCGAATCGAATCGAATCCACAGAGAGAGCGAGAGAGAGAGAGAGAGAGACAGAGAGAGATTGAAGTTGTGAGAGATAACAAAAATGGTGGTGAGGATAAGATTATCGAGGTTTGGATGCAAGAACAAGCCTTTTTATCGAGTTATGGCTGCAGATAGCAGGTCTCCCAGAGACGGCAAGCACTTAGAAGTTTTGGGTTACTACAATCCTCTCCCAGGTACTCTCTCTCTATCAATTTTTTTCTCCAATCCATTTGTTTCTTGAGAAAATGTTACGAAAAATGAAAAATGAACCTCCTTTTATGGGTTAGCATTTAAAAAATGCCATTTGTTTCCCTGTTATTGGGTTTCCTTACGGTTCTATGAATTGTTTGGTTGGTGGGAAAGCGTTGGAAAAGAAATGAAACCAAAATATTGAATAATAATAAAAAAAATTCAAATTTATTGCGAAATGAAAAATCCGTTTTTTCATCTTCTGTTTTCCGCAAGAAAATGTCGGAGAAAATAAAATTAAATTCCCTTTTATGGTTGGGCAAACAGAGATCAAGTGTGCACGTGTAAGGGTTTTCCTTTTAGCATTGTAAAATTGCTGTTTGTTTCCCTGTTCTTGGGTTTCTTTAAAGTTCTATGATTTGTTTGGTTGCTCGGAAAGCGTTAGAAAATAAATGAAATGGAAATTATTTCAAAATGCGTGATTTATTATTTCTTCTGACCAAGCAAGTCGAATTAGAGTTAAATCTAATATGCTTTTGTGGTGTAGTTTGATTTTTGTTATTACTAATTGTTTTCAATGTGTTTGATTTGTACAGGTCAAGATGGTGGTAAACGAATGGGTCTTAATTTTGACAGAGTGAAGTAAGTGTGTTTTTTTTAGAAGTTTATCTCAATAAATAATTCGAAACTTGTAAACGCAGAAGTGTTCATAGCTGGATGCTTTAACCATGTGAAGCAAATTTTCTAGACTTGTGTTACATGATTGATTATGGTTTAGACTCTGCAACATAAGTTATAGCCCTCAATGAACAAGGGAGTTATAGCCTAGGAAAATGATGCAGCCAATCTTAAGTTATGTATGTCAGTGTATGTTTACATTCTTTGCGTCCCCCATGCAGATTGTTAGGAGAGAGGGGAAAAGGATTCAAAGAAATATGTATGTGAAGATGAGAGGTGTGAATAGGAAGTATTTTGTGTTAATTTATTAATTGTAGTGTTAATGAAGCTTGGTGGCAAAAACAGTAATTAGAAAAATGAACTTGAATGGTATGACATATCTCCCCCAAGGCAATTTCACTAGACAAACACTTGAAATGGTTGTGGCCTTATTGGCAATTGTCAAGGCTTATAGAACTGGTGTCACTTTCTTGAGTATTACAGTAATTGGCCACTAGAACTCTAGCCTGTCCTAGGTGGAAAAGCAAGAACCATTAGTTTTGTTGACAATTTGTTGGACATTAGAAGAGGCAATACTTCATTGTGCGAATAGAATTGCCTTTTTCTACTTTTATGTGGTCTTTCTTTCCATTCATTACACGTGTACTCTACAATTTGTTGTCACTGAATATATGGATTTTCAGTCTCGGGTTTGTTCAGTCCATAGCTTGACCTTCATCAAACATTTGGCTCAGTTGAATTTTTAATGGATCAGAACGTCTTCGTTGCTTCTCTTATTAAAATTCTCTATTTGTTGGCCTGATGGTTTCTTACTTCTTAAACCTTTTTTGAAAATATTTTTTCATTTTCTTATTCAATATCTGAAATCAGCTGTATGTCTTTTCCGGTAAATTTGGTTTCCTAGATTTGAAGGAGCAGACAGATAGGAAATGACTTGAATTTGCATGGTGGTGAACTTTAATTAGTTGGCATAGGTAGTACTTATGGGGGGTCAGGGATTCACTAGAGAGTGGAAGCACATGTTATAGACACCGGAGAAGGAGGGAGAGAGGGGGAGAGAGAGAGAGAGAGGTACCACCTCCCATTTATAGGGGTGGGTCATGTGTTTGATAACAAAATTTCTGGATATTCCGATATTCTTTTACAATATGCCAGGCAATATGTCATAACATATCATTCAGTTTGGATTTGCCTCGATCCTTGGTTCGGGTCGGACGGACCCATCCCCAAAAAACAGCCCGAAAACGAAACCATCCCCAAAGGAGAAAAACCCAATCAAAACCCTCGTTCTTGGAATCGAATCGAATCCACAGAGAGAGCGAGAGAGAGACAGAGAGAGATTGAAGTTGTGAGAGAGAACAAAAATGGTGGTGAGGATAAGATTATCGAGGTTTGGATGCAAGAACAAGCCTTTTTATCGAGTTATGGCTGCAGATAACAGGTCTCCCAGAGACGGCAAGCACTTGGAAGTTTTGGGTTACTACAATCCTCTCCCAGGTACTCTCTTTCTATCAATTTCTTTCTCTAATCCATTTGTTTCCCGAGAAAATGTTAGGGAAAATGAAAAATGAACCCCCTTTTATGGGTTAGCATTTAAAAAATGCCATTTGTTTCCCTGTTATTGGGTTTCCTTACGGTTCTATGAATTGTTTGGTTGGTGGGAAAGCGTTGGAAAAGAAATGAAACCAAAATATTGAATAATAATAAAAAAAATTCAAATTTATTGCGAAATGAAAAATCCGTTTTTTCATCTTCTGTTTTCCGCAAGAAAATGTCGGAGAAAATAAAATTAAATTCCCTTTTATGGTTGGGCAAACAGAGATCAAGTGTGCACGTGTAAGGGTTTTCCTTTTAGCATTGTAAAATTGCTGTTTGTTTCCCTGTTCTTGGGTTTCTTTAAAGTTCTATGATTTGTTTGGTTGCTCGGAAAGCGTTAGAAAATAAATGAAATGGAAATTATTTCAAAATGCGTGATTTATTATTTCTTCTGACCAAGCAAGTCGAATTAGAGTTAAATCTAATATGCTTTTGTGGTGTAGTTTGATTTTTGTTATTACTAATTGTTTTCAATGTGTTTGATTTGTACAGGTCAAGATGGTGGTAAACGAATGGGTCTTAATTTTGACAGAGTGAAGTAAGTGTGTTTTTTTTAGAAGTTTATCTCAATAAATAATTCGAAACTTGTAAACGCAGAAGTGTTCATAGCTGGATGCTTTAACCATGTGAAGCAAATTTTCTAGACTTGTGTTACATGATTGATTATGGTTTAGAGTCTGCAACATAAGTTATAGCCCTCAATGAACAAGGGAGTTATAGCCTAGGAAAATGATGCAGCCAATCTTAAGTTATGTATGTCAGTGTATGTTTACATTCTTTGCGTCCCCCATGCAGATTGTTAGGAGAGAGGGGAAAAGGATTCAAAGAAATATGTATGTGAAGATGAGAGGTGTGAATAGGAAGTATTTTGTGTTAATTTATTAATTGTAGTGTTAATGAAGCTTGGTGGCAAAAACAGTAATTAGAAAAATGAACTTGAATGGTATGACATATCTCCCCCAAGGCAATTTCACTAGACAAACACTTAAAATGGTTGTGGCCTTATTGGCAATTGTCAAGGCGTATAGAACTGGTGTCACTTTCTTGAGTATTACAGTAATTGGCCACTAGAACTCTAGCCTGTCCTAGGTGGAAAAGCAAGAACCGTTAGTTTTGTTGACAATTTGTTGGACATTAGAAGAGGCAATACTTTCATTGTGCGAATAGAATTGCCTTTTTCTACTCTTATGTGGTCTTTCTTTCCATTCATTACACGTGTACTCTACAATTTGTTGTCACTGAATATATGGATTTTCAGTCTCAGGTTTGTTCAGTCCATAGCTTGACCTTCATCAAACATTTGGCTTAGTTGAATTTTTAATGGATCAGAACGTCTTCGTTGCTTCTCTTATTAAAATTCTCTATTTGTTGGCCTGATGGTTTCTTACTTCTTAAACCTTTTTTGAAAATGAAAATATTTTTTTCATTTGCTTATTCAATATCTGAAATCAGCTGTGTGTCTTTTCCAGTGAATTTGGTTTCTTAGATTTGAAGGAGCAGACAGATAGGAAATGACTTGAATTTGCATGGTGGTGAACTTCAATTAGTTGGCATAGGTAGTACTTATGGGGGGTCAGGGATTCACTAGAGAGTGGAAGCACATGTTATAGACACCGGAGACATCGGAAGAATAAGTTGAGGCAAGGTAGCACCATTTCGAATTGTTCAATTTATGGAAAAGCTCATTGAAGACAATGTTATCAGGCAATGGGAGCATGCTATAGATGTGGCCAAGTTGGTCATTAGGTGAAAGATTGTCCAAAATTCACCAACTCTATGATGGGTACTCTTGAACCAATTCATAAATCAAGAACAGTCATATGAAGGAGGAAAGAATATAAACACCAAAGGAGAGCTTTTGCTTTAGTGCTGGAAACCCCAATGCTACTGAGAACGTTGTGTCAGGTACACTTTCTATATGTGGTCATTCAGCTCATATTGTCATTGATTTTGGATCAACTCATTCTTTTGTTTCTCCACATTTTACTTCCAAATTGACATCAACATCTAAACCCTTGGGATATGCATTATTTGTGTCTTTTTCATCCAATGGTTTCGGATGCATGCCCCCTCCAAGGACATAGCTGGGAGGCTAGTGGCGGACATACTTTTGTCGCTTAACTTTTGATGTATTACATGTAACTTCAAGCCAAGGGCTTAATGTGTAAACGAGTTAGTACTCTTTTGTTGAAACCAAGTGTTAACTTGGAAAGCTGTAAGCCCGTAGGGCATTTTGTTTTGATGTTAACATGTAATACTTATGTAATGAAACTCAATGAAATAAAGGAATGTGGTTAGTTTAATGTTATTATTTTGAGGGCGTTACATACTCTTACTCATAATTAGTGTGAATGTCCTTTGTTGTACAAAAAGCAAGCCCCAATATTTATTTTACTCCCTTGTTGTAGACAATTATTTTCTCAGGCTTTGTTTGGATATTTTCATTGCACAAATTTAAATTTTAAATACACTTTTTTTAAACTATCTATCTTAGCCACGGATGTAGCCTGAAATTTGACAATGTTTTCACTATGGTCCAATAAACTTGTTATATAATTTGTTGTATACATCCCTTAAAATATGATTATCATATAGGATACACTTTTTAAAGATGAGGTATCATAACATTTTTCAGAAAATATACATAAAACATTATTTGATAGGTGTTGTCCTTTGTAATCATTATTCTCCATTAGTACTTATGTTTTCTAAACCATCTGATGCTAATAAGACAAATTCATTGGCGGTTGAGATCGTTTTGTTCTTATTGATTATCCCATCTGTATCATCAATGACATATGTTACACAAATTGTGAAGCAATTTTTTTTTTTTTTTTATTTTTATATAGAGATATTTAGCCTGATATCTTTTCCTAACTTTTAATAATATGGGAGATTCATAATTTTATTTTATTTTTTTATTTTTTATTTTTTTGGGGTAACCTAAGTTCACTCATCTACGGCTCATATATTACACCTACCCACTCATTCTCTTTCTTCCTTCCCCAGTAGCCTCCTCTTTTGTTTCGATTCGATCACAAAGAGAGTGGAAATTTGAATCGTTTGATTAATCATGAAGGAGACACCCACATCCCAATCTACCACCAATGACTCGTCACATCAAGTTTTGAATTTGCGAAATCACCCACATCCCAATCTATCACCAATTACTCCACATCCCAATCTACCACCAGTGACTCCTCACATCAAGTCTCGAATTTGTGAAATCGCCCACATCCTAATCTACCACCAGTGATTTCTCATAGGCACCAAACAACTCCAAGACTCCTCATTTTTTCTCCTTAATAGGTTTGTTTTCCACCTCCTCGTCTGCCTTCGTGGCGGCAAGGGTAGCTTCGGCTCCTTCTTCCGTGGCGCCGCCGCCGCCTCCACCAAGGCCAGCCAGAAGAAGACCAATAACTTCGATGCTTGTAGAGACATAAGCGAACAGCGGCTCCACCACGTAAACATGGAGAAGAAGTTGAAGGAGTAGAGGGCGGTTGCGGAGGAGCAGAGGCTGGAGAAGGGTCCAAAGGAGTTTATAAAGAAGGAGAGAAAATTGGTCATCGGAATTTCTCTGGTTTAGTATAATCTGACTGTAAAGAGCGAAGGCTAGTGTTTGGGATGAATTTTCTTGTGATTATGTGCGTTTGTATAAACTCACTGCAAATAGACTAATTGTATCCTTATGTCAAGTTGTTTATTATATATATTATGATCATGGGAATTCCTTTATGGATTAATTGAGTCAAAATATAATTTTCTCTGATTTGGTCAAAACACAAAAAAAATAATGAGCAAATTAGAAAAAGTTGGTCAAAACATATAGAAAAATTATGAACGAACCAGAAAAATTTCAACCCAGATAAATTTCAAAACATAGAGAAACTTTCAAAAAACAGAAAAAAATTAGAGAAGTTGAGAGAAAATTGGTCAAAACACAAAGAAAATTGTGAGCAAATCAGAGAAATTTCAATCTAGAAAAATTTTAAAACACAGAGAAAAATCAGGGAAATTAAGCAAACCAGAGAAATTTCAAAGTAGAGAAATTTTAAAACACAGAAAAATTTGTCTGAATCGAAATTTATCTAGATCGAAATTTATTTGAAAAAATGTTGAGGAACCCCAACCATTATGAAAATATTACATGCCTTTTATCCTATAAAATTTTAATACCAGAGTCCTTAAAAAAAATCCCCCTTTTTTTAATAGTTTTTTTTTTTGGATTTTTATTGATAAGTCCAATTTAGAAGTGTTTTATCCCAAGAAGTCCATGAAAGAATTTTTTAACCCATTTAGTCCCATGTATGTATAGTTTTATTCCATAAAGTCCATTTTCTTGATTTACACTATTTTCTTGGACACTTATGCCCTTATATTCAATTTTGATACCTTTATAAATATTTTTTGAACGATTAGCAATTTAATGATGTGAACATTCATTTTTTAAAATTCACATTCGTAGGAATGTAAAATTGGCTCATGGGCGGCCCGAAACCCGCCCGCGAGCCGGGGCGGGCCCGGCCCGTTGACAATGTGAATATTCACATTGACATATTAATATTCACATTAATAGGAGCGTAAAATTGGCCCACGTCCTGTGGCGGCGCGAAACCCGCTCGCGGCCCATGGATGGCCCGGGGCGGGCCCGGTTCGGCCCATTGACAATGTGAATATTCACATTGACATGTTAACATTCACATTGATAAGAGTATAAAATTGACCTGCGGCCC